TATTGTTATTCAAACTTTTAAAAAAATTTACTTAGAAAAAATTTGCTTGATTTCTACTGACTCAACCCCATATATATTATGTCAATATAATTATATAATCGTATGTTCTAAGTGTTGAAACTAACCAAATATATACAGAATGAATTTTTTTTTTTAGTTCTAGAAGTAATTTAAGTGATAAAAGTATTATATATATATAACTTATATATTAATTACAACTTCATGTTAGAACAGGTGCGATAATCATCGTGACACTACAGCATTAGGAAAAGTGATTCCGAGTTCAATTCCGAATATTAAATAAAGCAAAGACGATAGAAATACTTTCATTGCTTATTAGCAGGATAAATTGCAGTTTTTTGACGACGATAAAATTATAATTAATGTCGGCAAGGGAAACCTGAAATCTTAATAAAAATTATCCATCTTTTGGCGTTTATTGACAATGGGAAAGCTGTATGATGTGGATTCTTTTAGATAGTATTTAAAATCTGCTGAAAAGGGTGACACTAATGGACAGTGCTGTGTCGGATGGTGCTACAGAAACGGCTTAGATACTGACAAGGATGAAAAGAAGGCATTTGAATGGTATTTAAAATCTGCTGAAGGTGGTAGTTTTATTGGGCAATATAATCTTGGATTTTGCTACCAAAATGGCATATTCATTGCTAAGGATGAAAATAAAGCGTTTGAATGGTATTTGAAATCTGCTGAAGGTGGTAATGCTAACGGACAATGCAAGGTCGCGTGGTGCTATAGAAATGGAAGAGGGGTTGCTGAAGACACTGAGAAAGCATTTGTATGGTATATGAAATCTGTGATGTTGCTGAAATAAACAACATTGGTCTTTATTACGAACGATGCATAGAAACTACTGAAATATTACCGAAATTTGAACATTTTAAGACGTTTCTATTGATCAATCATTGAAAAAGCGCCTACCAAGACTGTGAGAGATGCAAGAAACCTTGTAGTAATCTATGCGTAGGTTGTTATTTTAGAAAACCAAAACCAGAGTTTAAAATATGGACAAGTGGTAATGATACAATCGATAAGATAATTCGACACACGCAGACTAACGAAAGCATCTTGACTTTTATTGGGAGTGGATAGAACCAAAAGACTTGACAAATATTCAATATCTTGCAGATGGAGCGATTTCATCAATATATAAAGCAACATGGCTTAATGAATATCCCCGCAGGCATAATGGGTTAAGACCTCAAAGGGGATCTGCTATGGTTGCACTTAAAACGCTTGGCTCTTTTGATGAAGCAGCGAGTATTATAGATGAGGTAAAGTTCATATCACTTATATCGCTTATATTCTTTTTTATGTAAAAACCTAATCTTTCTAATATTAATTCAACTTGTTACTTTTAAAAGTTTAATAATAAAATTCTTTCAAATTAGAAAGATTTTGAAACGCGTTCGGAAATTTATGTGGTAACTTTTCTCGTACAGACAAATCAAATTGCTATAGTAATGGATTTCTATGAAGGTGGAAGCTTGCGAAATCTTCAAAAGCAAGAATTCTCTTGTATAGAGTGTATAGACACCATATTTAATATTGCTTTATGTCTTGGATATAGGCACTCTTTTGAAACTTTTCACTGCAATTTACATACCAATAATATTCTGTTTACAAAACACAATAATTATTATAATTTTCCTAAAATTTACAACAATTGGAACATTGTAATTTCTGACTTTGGTTTAAATAATGTGTTTAATAATTTAGCAGCTACTCAAGGAGGAAGTTATGGTTCTATACCATATATTGCACAAGAAATCTTTAAGGGCTATCCGCACTCTAGAGCGACTGATATATATGCTCTGGGAATGATCATGTGGGAACTTTTAGCTGGTGAGCCACCATTCAGTAATGTTTTTCACGATATTAGTTTAATTCTAAACGTTTGTGATGGGCTTCGTCCACAAATTATAGAAGGTACTCTAAATTTCTTGGTTGAAATTATGAAAAAATGTTGGGACAATGACCCTGATAAACGTCCAGATGCGACTGAAATTTGTGATTATCTTATAGAGCATTCACAATCTAATTCTATGCTTGAAATTATAGAATATTATGAAAAGTATAGTAAGCAAAATAGAAAACAAACTCGAACAAAAGAACATTTTAGTGAACTTTTTTCAAGCAGATTTATACCACTTTTTAAAATTTTTACACAACAAAAAAAAATATAAAGACACAATTTTTAAGAATGTTCAAAATGATAATTCATTATTAACTTCTATTGAACTAGTTTGCCCAAAATACTATTTGGATTGCAAAATGTGTAATAGACCTTGTCTAGATAATAAAAAATGGTGTGAAGGATGTTCTGAAAGAAAGCCAAAAACAGGTCTTAAAAATTTAATAAGGGATCTTGAAAAACACGAATCTAATCCGATATTTAATATTATCCAAACAACATATGAATTCATCAAAACAGCATATAGAATCGATAAAAAAAGGAACTAGAGTATTATTTTGAATGGATAAATCCTGAACGAATCGTAAACATTCAGCATCTTGATAATGGAGGATTTTCATCTGTTTATACTGGCAAATGGCTTGATGGTTATCCTCGTGAACCAAATGGATTAGGGACCGGTTACTATAGCACTTAAGATATTTAATTTGTTTGATAAAGATGTATTCGTTGATGAGATATTATTCATGGCTAATGTTGGTGGCAAAACCGACGAAACTCGCTGCGCCGAATTCGACGTCACGGGACCCGAAAACGTGACGAAAACCCCGAATCGGAGCCCACGAAATCGTTAAAGAAATCGTGAA